TCCTTCGAATGGAAGAGCGAATGAGCTACTGAGCTTGAATAGAATCCGGCTCAGGAGAGTGACAGGACTCATAACGGGACACTGTCACTTTAAGAAACATCTACATAGACTAAAGCTTGTAGACAGTCCGGTCTGCCGAGGATGTGAATCGGCGGATGAAACTTCTCTGCATATCCTGGGCGAGTGCCCGGGATTTGCACGTAGCAGAATGGCGCTCCTTGGGAGACCTTATTTGGAACCCAAGGAACTGAGAGAAGTGTCAGCAAGGAAGCATTTGGACTTTGTAAAAAGGACAAATCTACTTGCTGAATAGGACTAGTAGTGGGACGCACAATAGGCCTAATTAGGCCGCAGTGCTATGGGACTTTTAAAGGACCAACCACTACATGAAGATGAAGATGATGAAAATGTTAAACGATACAGAATTTTGGAAGAATATTGTTGCGTTTTTATAAAATATCATAAGGTCAACTATATAAGGTTCAAATTTGACGAGACGACCTTTGTATATAAAAAATGTGAATTTCTGAATGAAAATGTGGTGGTATCGAAAATAATGAAAAAATGTTGTCATTTGATATATCGGACAAGTGGGTTTGTTTAATTGTTGACACTGCTCACAGTTTTAGGAGAATTTAGATTGTCCGAGGCTAGGAGGCAGTACGATCGACACTGTCAGATCTAGGAAAGGATATGTCTCAAAAAGACGCAATTAGTTGCTTAAACTGTTGTAACAGGGTAATAAATATAATAAATAATAATGCTAAATGCATATTAGTCAGATCTGAGGGCGTTTATCAGATCTAAGAAAAGATGCAATTATTTACTTAAATTGTTGTAATAGATAAATAAATATAAAAGAATAATGATAAATGCCAATTCACTGGTCTCCCGCGCCCAATCCATCTGTTGGGAAAAGTTTTGTGTAAAAACTGACAAGCACTATCATGTTGCATACACGTTCTTCAAAGTGTATCTAAAGGAATGTCGCCTAACAAATCTTCTAGAGTGTTTGTTAAAAAGTATAAACTACTCCAGTTAGATGCTGGTCAAAAACGAATGGTCCAATGACATGGGTTCCCAAAATTGCTCTCCACACGTTCACAGACCATCTTGTTGGCTATGAGTTGTCTGGATTTGGTGAGAATTTATTGTGTCATAATGATGGCAATTATGGTGATTAACAAAACCATTTTTATGAAAAGTAGCCTCATTGGAGAACATGATCTGTTTAAAGAAATATCATCTTGATTTAACATCTCAAGTGCCCACTGAAAAAACACCAGTCTCCGCTAAGAGTCTTCTAGTAACTCTTGATGTAATTGGATGCTATAAGGATGATAACTGTGCTTTTGTAAAATCCTATGTATCGATGTTGTACTAATACCCGTTGCATGACTAATTTGTCGTACACTTATTTGCAGGTTTTCCTGAATACATTCCAGCACAAAAAATTCATATTCCTCCATAACTACAGTTTTACAGCGATTTTGTTTTGTATGTCGAATATTACCAGTAAAGGTTTTACGCCATGGATGTGGTCTGTCTGGATAGTGCCGTGATAAATTCTTAATGCCAATAACAGATTTCTGTCACACTCATCAAGGACAAAAACCATATCAATCATTTCTTCCTACATCAGTGACATTTTGAAAATATTATAACTTTTACTTTCTACTTAGCAAAATAACTATGTCAAAGCTAATCAAAACTAGAATGACATTTAATTTGCTTTGTATGTCAAACAGTGCAATAAACAGAGCTTGCAAGTCCCTCTTGACGCTGTTACATGGGTACTTTTTCAGACTTTAGAAAAGAACCTGATTTTTCTGGAAAACTATTAGAGATAAGTATGGACAACCTTATATCAGTCGAAGAGGCAATCAATTTTGCATTCACCCATGACAATTAATATGGGTCATTCCATTTGGAGAAAAAAGTTTTCAACTCGCAAGATTATTAAATGTAGGTCTCAGTATTTCCGACTCTGAATAACGTACACGTTTTGTTCACAGATGACAAGATAGAATAATCTATGCCAAAACGAACTGTGAAACTGCAAGTTTCTAACTTTTCTGGTTTAGATGCTATCTACCCTCATTTAGAGAGCTGAAATCGTGATTTTTTTTCAAAAACTTACGGTTTCAAGATATTCAGTATATCTTGAAACAGTAAGTTTGAAACATCATGTATATTTAATAAACTCTATCCAATATTAACCAAGAATTCAAAAATGCAATTATATACAGAGTGTTCCGTTCAAAATGACAAAGTTATGTAGCGGCCACGCGAAATGGAACATTCTGTAAAGCTAAAAATATTTTCTTTACATGGCCCACATGATTCCAGGCAACCATTTTTTTTTATAAATTTTACAGTTACAGAGTTACAGAAGAATCCCTTTTACGTGGAGCACCCCGTATATACTCTATATATTTTGTCAAATTGCAAATAAAAAAAACTAGTATATGAATTGTTTCTCAAGTGTGTCAATTTGAAAATGAAAGTGGGAAGCTACTGAAATGTTAATATAAGGGTGTCCGTGTTTTTTTGTAGCAGGACTTTCACAACTTGTACTAAAAGTCCTTTAAAAAAAAAGTTCATGTAAACATGTATGTATAGATGCGTCGTTTTCGATTTACAGAGTGTTCCAAGTTTAAAATGAGAATTGATTTTTTATTCGTAAAACCAAAACCTCTTTTTAGACTTTGTTTAAACTTGGTAACTTTGTTTGTAATAATAATACTCATTTTTTCACATAATTTAATTTGTCCTATTTTCTCCAGTGGCGTCACAAGATACCAGCTTGATAAAAATAGAAAAAAATATGGTACGCCACTGCTTTTTGGTAAGTTTGAAATTTTTCTCAGATTTAGCTATCAAAAATACAACTTTTTTGTTATTTGATTTCTTTTCCTTTGTCGCTTTGTTTAGACAGAAATAAAATATTTTCATGAATAGGTTCGAGATTTGCTTAATTTATTTATTTACTTGTTATAAAGTGTGCCGTGAATATTTCTGTTTTTGAGTTGCCAAGGTATTGTAGCAATGGTTTGACGTTTGCTGACGTTCTTTAATTAAGTTTTTTCGATTGACGGTTTTCGGTTTTAATAGTATACATTTCTGTTTCTCATAAAAATGCCTTTTCAGTTTAGTAATGAAGAGTATGCATACATGCATTATTCGTATGGATTTTGCGATGGAAACTCTGCTGGTGCTGTTCGCGAATACAGAAGAAGGTTTATCAACAGAAGACAACCCCATCCAAGTGTTTTTGTAAAAATACACCAACAGTTTAGAAGCCAAGGTTTAAAACTGTTTCGGGCAGTAGTAGGTGAACAAATTCGGCAAAGGCATGGGAGACAAGAGCAATGAATTTTAAATACATTTGCAAGAAACTGACAATTAAGTACTCGATGTGCTTCAAGGCAATTAAATGTATCTAAATCCAAGATATGGAAAACTTTAAGACAAAATGGTATGTATCCATACCATTTACAGCCTGTACAAGCATTACAACCTGAAGATGACGTCGTGTAAATTTTTGTAATTGGGTACTTAATCAGGTAAGAGAAAATCCAGAGTTTCTTAATAAAATTATTTAGACGGATGAGTCCTGTTTCACAAGACGTGGTGTAGTAAATTTCCATAATGTCCACGTGGGATAATGAAAATCCACGTCTGATTCGACCTATGAGGTTCCAACAAGAATTTAGTGTAAACGTTTGGATGGGAGTGTTTGGCGTTTTTTGTTGGGACCTTACATCCTGCCCAATAGATTAAGCGGTCAATTATTTTTTGAATTTTTAACTGCCCAGCATGATAACATGCTAGACGATGTTCCTCTTCAACAAAGAATAGACTCGTTTTTTCAATTAGATGGATGCCCTTCCCATTACTCTTTTTGGTGGTACGAAACTGACTGAATACAGAGTATCCACAGAGATGGGTGGGTCGTGGAGGTCTAGTTGGGTGGCCTTCGCGATCGCCTGATCTAACACCTTTGGATTTTTTTGTTTGTGGATTTATTAAGGATGCAGTTTACTCTACGCCTGTTAACTCGCAAGAGAAACTTGTACGACGAATCCGGAACGCTGCTCTCAGAATAACTTCACATCATTTGAGAGACGTCAGGCGGTCTTTGATGCGTCGCTATAATTTGTGTGTAGAATGAAATGGTGGGCATTTCCAACAGCTCCTTTGAGGTCTATTTATACAATAAGTTGTTTTTCCATACCGTGTTGTTTATTTGTTTTATTATCTTACAATAAACTGTGTGAAACAAAAAGTTTTATTTCTGTCTAAACAAAGCGAGATAGGAAAAAAAATTAAATAACAAAAAAGTTGTATTTTTGATAGCTAAATCTGAGAAAAATTTCAAACTAACCAAAAAGCAGTGGCGTACCATATTTTTTTCTATTTTTATCAAGTTGGTATCTTGTTGAGACGCCACTGGAGAAAATAGGACAAATTATTAAATTATGTGAGAAAATGAGTATTATTATTACAAAGTTGCCAAGTTTCAACAAAGTCTATAAAGGGGTTTTCTTTTTACGAATAAAAAATCAATTCTCATTTTAAACTTGGAACACTCTGTAAATCGAAAACGACGCATCTATACATAATATATGTTTACATGAACTTTTTTTTTAAAGGACTTTTAGTACAAGTTGTGAAATTCCTGCTACAAAAAACGCGGACAGCCTGTATATGGATTAATTTATCTACTCGTTATGTTATAGAGTGGAAAGTACACAAAAATAAGTAAATAAAAAAAAACAATTGGACTGGTTCTTGTGGGATAGGGGTTTATTTAGGTACTTATTTTTATTTTTTAATTTTCAGTGGCAAATTATCCTAAAAATAAAAACTAAAAATTTGATACTCAAAAATTTTAAATCATATACATTAGTTTTATTAGTCAAACTATTTGTTACAATAAACTATTTATTTCAGTTACTTTTAACTTTAGCCATACCTGTATATTCATATGTTGCATCTAAAGGGTCAATCCACACAGTTACATCCTCTTCAATAAATTCAACAGATTCATTTTCATCTACTGAGATAGGTAAAGATAAATCAACATACTGATTTTTATGACAACGGGTTTTCGCTTCTTCAGACACTATTTTTAGAGAAGGATAAAAATGTTCCAAAGTTCTCATCATTGCACAATGAGATAGAAAATCAGCAGTTGTTACACTATCTATTAAACCCTCTTTTGTTAATCCTTTTTTTTGTATATTAATGTTATCTTTACTTTGAATCACTTCTCGACCACCATTTTCCGCTGCTTTTATTGCGATATTAAGTAATTTATGCATATTAATTTTATTTGATCTATTTAGTTTTACATTATTTAAATCATTTTTATAGGACGTCATATATAAAAAAAGAAATAACAGTGCTCCACTGAAAATGCCTATACTAGTTTTGTTCAAATATATTATACCACCTAAATTCATTTTTAGAACTAAATGGTTATCGGAGAAATCTTGATATGAAATGCCATATAAATTGTAATATAAATAAAACGAATATAAAGCTTTTTTAAGTAATTGTTTACAAATGTCACGTCACACAATACAAACACTAATGATTACACAATAAAAAATTTTCAATAAAACTGTCGTGTATGAATTTACTTCTTAATAAACATAATGCCCCTACATTTTTTTAAAATTAACTTTCTATTGTTATTGTTTCATTTAGGTATTTATACACTAATAATTAATTCATAGGATCTATTCCACAATTATTCAAGTAATTGAGGATTGAATTGAGGTTATTTAATGTATGTTATTATCTTAGAGTAATAAGTAAAGGGGAGGCCGCATTCCCTATTTCAGTACACAATGTAAACATGTAACATATTGGCTATGTTCCGTAATCTGCTAATTTTACTATCAGCGCTATTGCAGAAATTGCAATATCAAGCCGTTCCGTAAATGAAATTTCCAATTTTTGCGTCAAATAACGGAACAACGTTTAGCACTTTAACTAGAAACTGTGGTCTTCTGTCAAGAGTTTGACAAATAATTTGAATTGTGAGGTTATATAGTAATTACATTTATTTTGTCGACTTTTTTAATCTTTTTTTAATAATGGGAACTGCAACTGCGATAGCGCTATTTTGTAAATCGTTTATAGATATAGATTCTACAGATGATAGTGAAGATGATGAAGACATTTTTTATGTGATAGAATAAACTAATTGTAAATATTAAAGAACAAGAATTCAAAATTACATGGAAAATGTAGTACATCTTTATTATGTCGTCGATAATGCGTAATATAGCCATTTTGATTGAACCTTCGTCGAATGTGGTCGAATTTGTAGTTTGGTTTTGTTTACAAACAGACATCAGATCAGACATCATACTGTCATTCCCCCACCAATCTGCTGCAATCACACTAGTGATAGGAGATTTCGAGTGAAAAATCGAGTGTTACTCGATTATTGAGATCAATCGAGATATCTCGAGATGTTTACTCCCACCACTCAAGTGATTATTACCCTACGGTTGCACCCCAAATGTTAGTGCATACTGCAAATAGTCACTGATTGCGTAACCTTTTTTTTAGAATAAAACGAAAAAGTGGTTAGGTTTTGAAGTGCGTGAGCTTTTTTTTCTTTTTTTTTTTAGCTACCGCTTATAAGTAATATATGACTAATACAAACATATTTGTGCGTCGCTGGGATGAAAACGACCAATATCTCGTATCTCGAGTGATCACTCGATTATTAGAAGTACTCGATTACCGATAACTCGATTATCAAAATTGGTCGATTATGCCCATCACTAGTCAAGATATTTCTGTGTAATATTAGGCTTTTTTTCGCGAGTGAATATTGGTGAATACGTCTGACTTGTAGTTACTGTTTCTATCTCTTTTTAATCTTATTTCTAAACTTGTCTAACCTGAACAGATCGCGAAAATGTATATATTCACTATTCAGTGGTGCAGCCTGTCATATGTACTTCGACGACTTTGACATATGGCTTCAAGGCTCCCCATATATGTTTTTAAATTTTTTATATAAAAAAATTAAACTAGAAAGAGGTTAGGTCGGTTTTTTATGTAATTCATACGAAAAAGACCTGAATTACAAATGATTCCACCAATATTATCTTTGGCCTAGGTCACAAAAAAAGAGGATAATCCTGAAGCAAAGTGGATCGCAAATATGTCCCATATAAAAAATTAATCTTACGACCATTACTTAAGTAAAATATTTGCTGTTTCAACGTCTACGNTGTGTGTGTGTGTGTCGTTGTCTTCGTTTCTTGATCCTGGCTGTCTCTGAAACAGAAAAGGTTAGCGGGCAGGGGGGGGGTCATTGGGGTGGTCACCCAGGGTCAAAAAGTTGGTGTCTAGGTTTTTTGTGTTTGTCGATCACGTCGGGTACGTAGTCAACGGCTTGCCTGAGTAGGGGATTGTCATGTCTAGCGGCTACGTCAAATCGTTTCTCCGCGTTTTGTCTTATTGTCTGTGTAGCGTTTGTGTATTCGCGCCATTATTCTATGGCTAGAAGTTGGCCTTACCAGGGCGCGTCGGTGGCCGTGCGGAGGGCTATGTTTTCCACAGCCTGTAATGACTTTAAGTGGCTTTTTGCCGCGTGACCCCACGCCGTGGAGGCGTAGGTTAGCTGCGGTTCGGTGTAGGCGCTTTGTGGGACCTCCTTTTGTCCTGGCTGGGCCCCGCCGGCTAGGGCCCTTTCTTCTGGCGCTCTTCTTGCTTCGCCGGCTCGTCTGTGTAAACCCCGGGGGTAGTGTCATGTTTATGTGTGGTATGGTTGGGTAGGGTAGTGCGGCTATGCAGCCTGGGATGCGCTTTGCTAAGGTGGCCCTTAGGCTAGCGCGGGAGGGGAGGGTTAAGGAGGGT